ATGACTGGAAAACAATGATACCCAAGCCATGCCCCTTTCCCTGAAAAAAAAAAAATCACTGTGTCAAGGAAAGGAGGCAATATAAAAGGGTTTATATAATGGCAATTTAAGGATTTTTCTATGCAGAGGGAATTGAAAAGAGAGGAAGGATGGGCACATCCACCAGCTTGGCACAAGAGAAGATCCATCCTCTAATGGGCACTTCCAAAACCTGGCTAACACTTTGCTAGCAACTACTTTCCCAGTTAAAGCCCTTATACAGAAAAATGTTACTTCATGAACCTGAGAATGCCTATCTCCCTCCAAGAGACTTTACGTAATCCAGAGTAAGTTTTACCTTCTGGTTATACTGAGGTTGGGAAAAGGGAAATGTCCTTTACACAGATGTCAGGTAGTTTTAACACAACAATTATGCCAGCTACAATTACTATGCCCAATCAGCACAATGGCAGTGTTGTAAAACCATGAAAGCATATGAAATCACTTCATGCTTTGAAAGCAAATACCAAAGAATAAAAGACATGTTGTAGACCAATGTAAATGCAGAGAGCAAAGCACTAGGGGAAAAAAGCAGGGGGGTTTGCTTTTAATAAGATGCTCATATTTGTTATTTTCCATTGTTGACAATAACAAGGTGCAGATACACAATTAAGTCTCTATTACTATACAATTAATAGAAAAAATGCTGCTTCATGATTATGATTATTGTAGATTAAGAAAACTGAATATCTGATAGAAGTGTTTATTTTAGTTTATTGAATGCTGAAATGGTATGCAACTGAAGTTTCAAAACGAAGCATAGAAAATTAGGGTTGGAAGGGACCTCAGGAGGTCACATCTAGTCCAACCCCATGTTCAAAGCAGGGCCATCCCCAACTAGATCATCCCAGCCAAGGCTTTGTCAAGCCAGATTTTAAAAACCTGCAAGGATGGAGATTTCACAACCTCTCTAGGTAACGTGTTCCAGTGTTTTACTACCCTCTAGTGAGAGAGTTCTATATCCAACCTAAACCTCCCTTGCTGCAACTTGACACCATTGCTCCTTGGTTTGTCATCTGTCACCACTGAGAACAGCCTAACTCCAGAGAACATTTAGCCTTGCAGCTCTGGCAGGAACATTTAAGCTGCTGCTCAAATTTTTCAAAATAAGTGGTTGCTGATGGCATGCTGTCATGTTACCATTTAATCCTCAGAGCCTAGCAACCTTTTCAGTCTAACTGGGAAGTAAACTCTTCCTTTCCCTTTCTGACAACCTGATTAAATACTTCTATTTAATACTCAAGAGCAAGGGGTTACTTAAAGGGACTGTGTCTCCTTAAGAAAAATCAGGTGAACAATGGATGTTGGTAAACGTTGGTGGAGTTATCATCTAAAACAGGGGTGGGCAAAATGCGGCCCACCAAACCATTCTATCCATCCCGCGGGGCCCCTAAAATTTTTTTTGAATTAATATTTATCTGCCCCTGGCTGCCCGTCATGCGGCCCTTGATGGCTTGCCAAAACTCACTAAGTGGCCCTCTGCCCGAAATAATTGCCCACCCCAATCTAAAACTTCCTATAGGTGAAATATTAGAGATTTTGACACACGCACGCATGCTTTAACTTGATAATACTGTATGGACAGTTATTTTACTCAGTTGTGTGTGTCATGGCAAAAGCAGAAAGAAAAAGTACTTTTAAAATGCAATGATTTAAACTTAAGAAAATTTATAGTCATCTAAACCAGTCTTTTTTAAACAACAACAACTTAAGTATAGAAAAACAAACTACTTTATTTCTCTGTGAAGATCTTAATCCGGCCGGTAAATACACAGGGGGTACATCTACTTGAGATGCTTACTGCACGGTAGCCTAATAACACAGTGCATTAGTGTGCCAGTCAAAAACCATACTAATAACCTATTGTGCAGTATTATTAGGCTACTGCGCAGTAAGTGTCACAAAAAACGTGCACTGGTGCTACTGTGCAGTAAATATAGTTACTGCACATTAATGAATGTGTAGACACACCCAGGCAGTCCTGAAGACTTCAAGGTAGCTACTTGTATTCAATAGATTGTATATGGGTGGATCCCTATGTCCACAGTGAACTATGCTGAGGTTGATGAGATTTTCCATGGTTACAAAAGCTACCCACATAAAAGCAGTTGCAGGATTGGGATTTAACTGCTATTAAAGTAGACTTCTAATGCCCAAATAGAAAATCATCAAAACACACCCAAGAAAGCAGTCGGGTTTTAGAAGAGGGCAAAAAAGTTTTGACTCACTGATTTTTTCCTTTTCAGATGGTTTAGGTCAACTGGCTTGTCATTATCAACACACACAATATTGGTTTATTTTTTACCACAACACACCAATCAAGCAAATATAAATTGCATTACCCTTCTTTGCTGTTTTGAAAGTTAGGATATTTTTAAAACAAGACATGAATTACAATCTGTTAAGGCTACAGCAAGAACACACAATTCTCTACATTAATTCAAAAGCCATTATATGTCATATAAACAGAAAAAGTGTCTCAATTCCAATAATAATGTTCCATTAAAAAAGATGCTGTGAATTTAACCAGGTTAGAAACCGATTTCTTTATCCCTATTACTAATTATATGCTGGATTATTGGAAATAAAGTGCTTATCTATTTTTAAAAGGCAAGTATGCCATTTTTATAAATTGGTTACTTCATTTTTTTCTATCTGAAAACTTTAACCAGTTTAAGTCTTGTGCACTGACCTGCCTTGAGTGCTTTGGTTTTTGGCATTGTCAGGGCAATACCAAAACAGATCACCTCTTTCAGGATCAGGCCCAGACAGCCAGGCATTAAGTATAAAACTAGTTTCACTGTTTGCTGCCTCTCAAAATCTGCAAGCACTATGTACAGTTTAGTTCCTTGTTATCAGATTTAAATGCCTATTGTCTCTACTATTCTTATCATGAGAAGTTCCTTTTTCCATAAAAATAATTACATTTCCAACAGGAGCCAGATGAAAACAGGGAAGAGCACCAATACTTCACAAGTGCCACCCACAAAACAAACTCTACTCATGAGAGCTGTCAGAATGAGACCCTGCTCTCGGTACATTGTGCAGATGCTTTAAATATCACACAGCTCTCAGAAGTCAGCTTTCCCTGCTTGGGGCTCAGTATGCCCACAGGCTCTATTCACCCTTGGATTTGGCTACTACCTGATTTATTGGAGAAAGCAGCGATAACTTCTTAAAAATCACTCACATCCAGCACCAAAAATAAGATGTCACTCAGTGTTGTGCTGATCCTTCTTTTCCTCTTATGTGAAGAATTATACAGATAACAACATTGACTCCATGGTGACATCTCTGCATTGCTTACATATCATTCTCTCTCTCTATCTTCCCTTTAGAAATTCTCTTCACATCCATATCAGATAGAGACTTTTGCCTTAAACTCAGATTCTAGAGACCAAAATGATATTCTACAGACCAAAACGATAGTAAAAGGTGCCAGCATGCCACACCACTCTCTGTGTGTACCAGTTGTTTCTGATCCTGGATTTCTAAGCTTACTTATCATTCATTGAAAAACAAATGCCTGTTCACATAAGAAGGATGAATGTTTATCACTAAGGCATGAACTTAATGTAATTGTTCAGGAAGCCTGTAAAAGGGAACAGCGGCTTCTAGTTATACTTCTCCCCACTTCTGTACCAAGGATTGTTTTAGAAGGCTTTAGCATCAAAATACAATTATTATAACAACAGTAAAAAACTTGTAAGCAGCTCCAAGCTCAATATGAGGGAAAGGGAGGGGGTGGGGGAACTGGGTACCACTGAAAGTCTATTTTAAAAAATTGAATGCTCTTGTAAGCCAGACATTCAAATATGTAACTTTTGAATGAAAGAGATGCCAAGTAAAGTCTTGTAGATCATCTCTACCCTCAAAACAGCCAGAACTCTTCGCACCAACTCTGAGCTATCACACATTAAAAAAAAAAAAAGTCTTACGAAACTATCACATGTACTTCTGAAACTCCACAGTAGCTCACTGCTTCCTCGTTCTGTTCATCATACACACACGGCTATTAAATGAACTCGTTCAGTTATAGCGCCTACATACAGCTTTCGTGCAGAGTCCGTTTTGCCCAGAACCAAGCTCTCAGGCAGACACGACTGGCACAGGACGCCTTCCTAGATTAAGAGGGAGCCGGAAGATTCAGCCTCAACTTTAAGAAAAAGGCACTAAGGATTCTTGCTCTGGGTATGCTTGACTTCTAGGGTGTGACAAGATATTGGGGAGGGGAGTACAAAAGGTAGGAGGCGGAAGACACTGGGGTGCAGTGATTCACAGCCAGGGTGCTGCGAGGGCGGGGGGGGGGAGCTTGAAATCCTCTCAAGGGTGCCGCGACATAGCGCTGTGAGGGGCACAACCCTGACTCTGGAGACAAACCCAGAGGTTTCCAACAGGAATGCAGAGAGGTTTCCGAGTTCTTTATGGTGGGAGAAAACTGACCCGGCATGTTTTTAAGAGGTGAAAAGCAAAGGGAAAGCTGCCTTTCAACGAGGGATGCCTCCAGCTTCGAAAACAAGAGGTTGAGAACCATTGATTTAGGGAGCAGAAACCAATGGGAGGGGAAATCCAGCGTGTCAGGTGCCCTGGCCCCTGAGGAGCACAATGAGCAACAGCCCGGCAGAGCCCGAGGTGGAGTTTGATCTGGAAGGAGACGGACACATCTCGGCGCTCGGCAGCCAGAGGCACAGCAGGGGCCCTTTTCTCTTCTACTTCACCAGCAGCGCGGTGCCGTGGGACAGCGCACGGATCCAGCGCCCAGGCGGGCTGCCCAGCCTGGCCCCACGCCCTGCGCGGCTGGAGCGCGGCCGCCTGCTCCCGCCCAGCCCCAGCCCCGCCACCTGCCGCCCAGCGCCATGCTCGCCAGTCCCGGGCTCCCAGCGCTGCCTGCGGGATGCCGCTGGGCGCGGGGAGAGGGGGAAGGGCAGGACAAAGCCCTCCCCCCCGCGCCCACGACTCACCGTGTAGAGCAGGTTGAGGGCGCACAGGCAATTCTTGGAGCAGGTGAAGCCCCCGCAGACCATCGCGCCGGCAGCGCGCGGCTCCGGGCAGGGGAGGTGGGGCGGGCCGGAGCCGGAGCAGGTGGAAGGGCGGTGGATCCCGATCCCGCAGCGCGCCGGGGACAGACGGAGCCTCCCGGATGGAACGATGGAACCACGGAGGGGCCGGGCCCGCGAAGGCGAGGAGCGCCGGGATCCGGAGCCGCGGCCCCGGGGCCGCTCGGGCGCCCTCTGCCCTCCGTCAGCATTCAGGCTGGGTCCGCCGCCTCGCCCTTCATGCGCCTAGACACGGCCTGTGAATCCGGGCGAGGCTCCGCCTCAAACGCCGAACTCGCACCAAGCCGGCTACACGGGCGCGGCTGGACGCCTGAGGCCCCTGGAGAAGTTGGGCCGGAAGGGAGCTCCTCCGCCCCCCAGGCTGAGGCAGGGGCATCCTTGCTCTAACCCGATGTTTCCCAACCTTTTCCAGCCCGAGGCATGCTTACATTAATAAAAACTTTGTGCAGTGCACCTGTTACGGCATTCCCACTCTCACACCTGTTGTAGCTCGTTGCCGTGGCAAAATTCCACCGCACACCTGTTCATTTCTGATGGCCTGCTTTTGTGCTGCGGCACCCTGGTTGGGAAACACTGCTCTACCCTCTTCCTAAAGCGACTGTCGCCCCTGATGCAGCACAAGCCCCAGACGCCCCAACCTGCCACCAGGGCATCAGGGACCCCAGGAGGTCACCTAGTCCACCCCCTGCCTGAGGCAGGGTCAGCCCTATCCAAACCATCCCATACAAGCATAATCTAACTCAGCATCAGACTGCCAGAAACCCTGGTACAGCCCACACTTGACACCCTAACCTGCTGCCGGCAAAACGGGACCCAGGCAGCCAGCGTCCTGCTTCTTTGTCCATGTAAGCATAGCATATGCTTACCTGGCAAGAGAAACACCGTGACCACGGAGGCGGTCTTCATAGCCGCACCAGGGAAGACCACTCTCCTGGCACGGGGATAGTACTTGCAGAGGTAACGTATAGTAAACCTCCCACTTAGCTGCTGGAGTGGGAAGGTCTTGGCTTTAAGCCCACCTTATGGAAATGAAAGATGTCTCCCTGGCTTGCTCCTGGGGCCTTACGGCTGAGGGCAAGCAAAACTAGGGGGCTGCAAGTAGGATGCCCACCAAAGGTTTTGGGAACATCTGAAGCCCCAGATGAGTAGAGAACATTTCCTGGTAGTAGGGCCACTTCTGGTTCTGGACTGACTCTTGGATTTGGAAATTGTTTTGGCTAATTTGGCTTGGAATACAGAAAATTAAAAAAAAAAAAAGTACGCTCAAGAGGTCTGGGTAGAGGGCCGCAACCCCCGCTACAGAGGAAAGCCAAATCCCCACAGTCCGTACCAATCTGAACCAGGGGGTAAAATTCCCTCCTGACCCCAAATATGGCCATCCGTGTGACCCTGAGGGAGAGGTAAGACTTTCTATCCTGTAATTAATAAACACTTGGGTAGAGGGCCATACCCCTGCTACAGAGGAAAGCAAAACCCCACAGTCCATTCTAATCTGAACCATGCAGTACAATTCATTCCTGACCCCAAATACTGGGGATCAGTCTGACCCTGAGCAGGAGGGCGAGACCCTGTAACCAGGAACCTCTACCTTGAAGTCCCAGCAGGAACACTGACACACCCAGTCAAAATCCCCAGCCTTGGTGGCAGCCAATACCCAGTGCCTCTGAGGAAAGCTTAAAACACCCCCGCCCCGACACATGCAGCAGGAACTCCAAAGGCATTTTATTCTATGTAGTTTGGCTGGGATTTGTCTGTCTGAGGAAAGCTAAAGCAGGCTAATAAGCTAGCACATGAACAAAAAGCAAACATTTAGCAATTCATAGTCTTGTTTTCCAGAAGTCTGAAGCAGGAGTCACTAAATATTTCTACCTGATTCTAGGACATCAAAATCCAAGTGAAGAATCTGCCCCCATTAGGTTGCTGGCTGTTGTATCCTCTGCTCAGCTTCTCTTTTCCCATCCCTTTCAAATCACCATTACTTAGCACAAGATGCTTAGGGCAGTGGTATCCAACTTTTTCCATTTTTCTGTTTGCCAGTCACAGCCGGTGTGCGGGCCCAATCTGGCATTCTGTGTTGACCGAACCGTGCACAGGAACAGCCTGGCCAGGGGCCGATCCAGCCACGCAGGAACAGCCTAGCTAGGCCCCAAACCTGCACTACTGCATTGGGTCCTGCCTAGACATAGCCATGTGGCTGCATCAAGCCCTGACTCAATCCAAATGCATGGGAACAGGGCCCAATCCCTCCAGCTGGAACCAGTCCAGCAATGTGGGGCTTGGAAATTTGGCAGCTGGGGAGCAACAGCAGTGTTAATTGTCACCACCCCACCACCTCCAAATTTCCAGATCAGGCCCACAGGCTAAAGGTTAAGCACCCCCTGGGTTAGAGAACATGGTGGCTTCACACAATATATATATATATTAATGTCCTTCTCCTGCAGTGTGATGTCTTGGTATACAGCTTTGCCCTCAAATGTCTCTGAAGATTAGTGAGGGCTTTCACAAGAGTTTAGGGTACAGAAAGGTACTTTTATTATGGAATCAGGATGTAACTAATTCTCACAGCACTTTCTGGTGTGTAAGCTTGTTGCTTTATCTACTTATTCTTTTTCAGTACGAGTGGTTTAATTTTACTATCTCTTCTTAGGAAGCTTCTCTGCAGATGCACCAGATGTACCGATAGCTATATAATTGGCAACATATTCATCCTTCTGTGAGTGGTGGAAAACAGTTAACTTTTGTTTATTCTCAACATCTGGGGATTTTTTTCTAGGACATATAAATAGTCTTCTTTACAATTAAAACTGTTGAAATGACAGTAACTGCATGGGTTGGTCCTTCCTTCCTTTTACTTTAAAATGGCCTGGGTTTTTTGTGGTTGTTTACACATACTTTGTGTATATACACCTCTATAACTGGAGGGAAAACTTAATTATCTAGAAACAGGCAAGTTATTTTTAAGGGAACTGTACAGCTCTAGCATTAACTAACAGTCCAGGCAAGTTTTTCTTCTGTCTGAGAGTTAAATAGAGTGAAACACCTGCTGCTGAGTGTAGCAGTTTAATATTCCCTGAGGTCCTGTTCTTACAATCATTTACACACAACTTCATTACACTTGAAATCAATGGAACTGCTAACAGAAGTACATTTAAACATGTACATGAATGTTGCAGGATGGGGACCCAAGAAACTCTCTTATTTTCCTTCTGGACTTTGAAAGAGATGGTAAGGAATTATACACTCTGTAGTCTAGCATGCTAACTATTCTGTCATCCCCAGGTGTTGGAGAAAAACTTGTGAAGATCAGTTCCACATAAACTGAGAAAATTACACCTAGCATCTAATAAATTCACAACAATTACTAGCAACTTGTCAACAAAGCAGTCAAAAACGGATCTCCAAAGGCATTTTGTTGTATGTAGTTTGGCTGGGCTCTGTCTGGCTGAGGAAAGCTACAGCGGGCAAATAATCCCAGCCAGCAGTGAGACAAAGAGTCTGAACAGCAGCCGGCTGTCTTTCCTGGTCTGTCGCTGTGGTCTATTCTCTTTGCATTTTTTTCCATGCTCTTTGATATTTTGCCACACTTGTGCAATTAAATACAGAGCACGTTTTTCTCCTGCCAAAATGACAATCCCCCATTTTCAAACTGCTGGATAGTTATCCATGGAGCTGCCAGTCAGGCATCATATTAACATCTAACACGCTTTGTGATACAAATTAAATCTAAAGATTTAACAGCTGCAAAAGTTTTTTTTATTATTATTATTGTTGCTAGTATGTTTTTAAACTTAGGGGAAGTGAGACAATTCATAGTGTATAATACTTGTAAGGAGACAAGATAAATGACTAACAAACCTGACTTGATTTTGAATTCATTTAGCCTGTGGTGAACTTATACTTGTTGTGTACTATATTTACAGGGCTATCCTTCTACTATTTTGGCTCAAAGCAAGACCCAGAGGAAACCACTCCAGTGTAAAACCACTGATCTAAAACAAATGATGCCAGCTTCACATCAGATCTGAATTGGGCTACTAAGTCTCAGATCCTCAGAGGTAATTAGTTGACCGACTCTCACTGGGTGGTAGGCACCTATATATAAACTAATTGACATCTTTTTCCATGCTTGTCACAGATCAGTCCCACAACAACCTTTCACATGGATTATAACAACATTTTATTTAAAAATGTCACTCAAGTATTGCCAGTGTTCAGAAATGATGCTATATTTCATTCTGTATAAGTGCTTTCCAAGCATTAGTGTGTAACCTGCCATTCCAAATATAAAATCAGTTTATCCACTGTAGAAAGATAGCTATTGATACCTCAGTTGTTAGAATATTATCTCATGTTTTGAAATTATTTTCAGCATAGCTTTAGACTGTAGTCATACAAAAGATTAGCCTTATTTTGTAGACTTTGTTGGATAAAGAGCAGAAACTTTAAAGTGTTTTTGTTGGACACATGCAAATGCAGATATATAAAGTTACTGTAGCATTGTTCCCTTTGTCATTATCACTGAATTATTCAAAAACATTGTCCACTACTCTTAGAAGATCTCTTTCACTGTTAATAATTAAGAAGGTGCCTCAACTTTAATTAATTAATGACCATTTCTCATGAAGGCTTGATTCAGTAATGAGTACCACTCAGAAGTTTTTGAAACATTTTTGGATTGAGCCCTTAAACATATAATAATATTTGAAGCTGCTTTTTCAATATAAATACTTCCCAAGATGGCTGTTCTAATGTCACTTGTACTCACGCCTTCTATGGTTATGCATAGATTTATTTAAGTAAATGGAGCTGTGGCAGTTCAACCTTGCTAAAGGCTGGATATTCATCCCTTCCAGCTCTATTCATAAGTTACACTACCAAGCTCCTACTGGGATAATCTTGTAACCTGATTTAGACTAGCACAGTTAAATATTTGTCTCTTGGAGTACAAACTATGCAAGAGGCATGCTAACTGCAGCAATATGAATGGGCAAAAAAAAAATTGTCTCTATATTTTCAGTCAAAATTATGCTAAAGACCCATATTCACATATGAATCTAGCTAATACATTGAGACACTTAACATGAACTAAGTTGTCTTTTGTGAATTAATAGTTGTTAAACGATTAAAAAAAACAGTCTTTCCTTAGATTTGGTGGCAGGGATTCTTCTTTTCATTTTTTTTTTTTAAATGACTGGGGGTTTTTTGTTGTTGTTTTGTGTGTGTGTGGGTGTTGGGTTTTTTTTTTTTAGGTTTAGTTTCTATAAATACCTGGTCTAGTTGATGAGCCTGTACCTGACTCTTCTCCTTTGTCTTTCAAGAGGACAAGTTCTGCATTTGGTTACAGTGAGTCCAGTTCTGTTGCCTTAATTTTCAGTGCTGCAATCAAGAGCAGAATTTGGCCTTTGCTTCTTGCACTCTGATATATCCTTTGTTCCTAGCTTGCCTTGGAGCCTTTCAACAGCATCCCTGGCAGTTGAAGAAACCATGAACAGAATGAACCAGATGTACTTTCATAGGAAAGTGCAGCAGCATGAACACACAGGCTGGTGACTTGTAATTCTGCTCTGCCTGTGGGTATCCTTGAGAGCACTGTATTTACTAGGAAGTAGTATGGAACTCTGTGGAAAGAGTATAACTGCAAAATTAGTGTGACTGGTGGCCAGTACACATTTTATAATTCAAACAGGCTATGAATAAAAAAGTTCTCATCATTTATCATTAATTTTTATATATAGACTATCTTAAGGGTTGTAAATTAAGAAGTTTTTTGGTTTTGTTTTTTTTTAATGGACCATATTCTGAGACCCTCAAAATAGGAAAAGGCTGTAAACTCAGATTTAAATTGAGGAAAATGCCCATTGTTTTAAGTAGCCTATGCTTCTATACTACATTGTAAAGCTCATGGTACAAGTTTTAAATCTACGTAGCATCAATATTTTACAAATGGTATAAATATAAACTTAAAACAGTTTATATTTGCGTGACTGTTGTGCCTTACATGAAATACATGAAAGCATTCTTAATGACAAATTTGATATAGAAACTCACCCTTTTTACTTTACGCATTTCACAGCATGTTGCATTTCTAGCTCTAGTCTTTACCTAGCATAATACTCTGTTGTATAGGAATCCTATCCAGCAAAAAGGGAAAAAATAATAGCGATCAGAAGAAGTTAGCAGATGCTCTCAAGTGGCACCTAAACTACTTTTAAAATTATTTGTTTAAAGATTTGCTGGTTTTCAACTTGACTTTAAAGCCTAAGGTCTTTTTGTTTTGTTTTGTTGCTGAGGTTGACAAGAAACAAATATAATAAACAAACCTTAATAAGGTCAATTGTTTTGGAAACGAGTCAAGTCTGGACTGCTTGTTGTCCTGACAACCTTCTGATAAATGTGCTGATGTGCTAATAAATACTGAAGCTAACATTTAAGTTAACTCCATAAAGATTTTCAATTCAGTCAAATGGTACCTTATATTCTTTCAGTTATTTTTTTTATGTCTCTCTCATTTTGGCTTGTTCTACAGCATGAACAACATGGGTTTTCTATACTCAGAAGCAAAAGTACAAATGAGAGTGGTAAAATCAATGATTTTATATTCCCACTTCATCCCCGTGGCTATGATGATGCAGCTGCTGGACGATTTCTCATTTCCATCAGCATTTTTAAAAATGCCCATAAGATTGTTTACTGCAAGTATGACCTAAAAAAACAAGCTGAATATGTGCCGTCTGTCCGAATTGAGCTGTATGTTCTCCATGTGGTTGGGATTTTTCTCAGTTTTAATTTTGGGTGCCAGTATACGCTGTACATAAGGGCTAGATTCTCAGCTGTTATGCATTAAAATAAATGCACGCTTTTACCACACCTGTACATGGATGTCATCGTTGTTTCTGCCATTTGATGCTATTTAATTATAGTTAAAATCTATTACTCAACATAGATAGTCATTTGAACTTGTCAACAATGGTATATTATTCTAACCATTTGCATATAATGAATTTGCTTCCTGGATCAAAAGAACTGATCTGTGGAGGAAAGTAGGAGCATTCCAAGCCCATCCCCTTTCTTGTGGCCACTGATAGCACAAGAAGAAAGGGAAGGAGGGGCAGCCGGACACTGCCCATGGATGGCATTGTTCATTTTGCATTCCAGGGTTTTGGACATCTGTGTACATTATGCTCAGATACCAAAGTAGTAAGTGTGGTAGAGGAGCCCAAATAAGGGGTGTGTTGCACAGGACACTTAGCACATGTTTTCTTTAGATTATAGTATGCATTACTGTGCTGTATTCAAAGTTAGAATGTGTTTTGAGCAGTTGCATGCTAATGCTTACTACAATCTCTAAGTGTAACATGAGACATGGTGCAGGACTGCACCAGAGCCAGTTCAAAACTCCAGTGCAGTGCAGAGCCTGGAACTGACAATCAGCTGACTGTCCAGCACCACACTGGAGTCTACCATCAATGCCAGTTGGCAGTTTTGACACTGCTCCAGAGCCAATTGTCAATCCCAACCCTAGTACTACACTAAAGCCAGTTCAAGACTCCAGTCCAGTGTGGAGGTTGGGACCAACAATCAGCTGATTTTTCAGTCTCAGCTGTAGTGCCACACCAGAGCCAATTATTGATCCCAACCCCAGGACCGCAGAGAGTGGTTCAAGACTCCATTGCAGTACCCAAGCTGGGACTGACAACCAGCAAACTGTGCTGGCATTATATCCGTGGAGCTGTTAGATTATAATTGAACATGTGTTACTGAATACAGTCTGGAGATACTCTTCCCCTGAAAAGTCCTCACTTTGTTACAGTGTGATCACACTTAGCACAATACAATCATACTCTGCATATATGTTATTGCTTGAACATGCAGACGCTTGCGTTTTACTGTAGTTAACATGTATAAGTATAATGTATGACAAAAGGACATAAGAGTGACTGGTGATTTTAATAACAGAAATGCATTTCTTTTCTAGCATAAAGTTAAAACTTTGTTGAAGAGATGGAAAAGAGCACACAGAAAACAAGCTCCATTTGTGATAGAATGGGGAAAATATGTATAATGATTCATATTTCACAGAGTAACTTACTTTTAGATTGGATAATCAGAAACTTGCTTACCAGAAGGCAAAGTGACATGCTAGCTATATGACCTGAACATTTATCATTTTCGTATGAGGACTCTGGCAAACGATTAAAGATGACTACTAATAAAATAACAGGTGGTTCCTCCTTTACTCCTAGGAATGCAACATGCTGAAAACATAT